AGTTCGACTCAGGTTATGTTTTTCACTGTTTCGTCCCTCCATGAATTCATATCCCTGCCAGTGTTGACCCTTGTGTTCCCACCTGACATTGGTCAGTCTTTGGCTTCACTTGATAAAACTTTTCGTTGTTTTTTTTTATGCTTATGTGGAGTGTGTGTTGGCGTATTTGTTGTGCTGGAAGCCTCTCTTTCGTTGACTTTAGTCTACTCCGTTTCTGAACTAACTCGTGTTACTTGCTGTTGGTGCTGTTAAGGAGCACAAAGAGGCAATGAGGCCTTTAGATTTTCAACCAAAAAATAGTCCAAAGAAATCAGTCCACAGACTTGTTATAACCAACTTAGAGAGTCTGGGAAGATCTCATTTTCGACATTACAATCCTTTCACACTGGCGATAAAAAAACAATTAATACACGTAAATTGTTTCACATTATTACACACAGTACCTTAAATGCACCAGGTTTCACTGGATGACTGCATCAGTGTTTTCAGTGAAAATAAAGAAGAGGTGAAAGCTAAATTACAGAAACATTTCAAGGTTGAAGTGACTCTACTTGACCACTTGAGGTGAGTCCTTTTTACTCCATTGAATTTGAAAGCCTCAGGTTTATTCACTACTTATTCTGAGTGGTGCGTTCCAAACTGAGGGCAGCGTTGTTGTTTTCTGGACTGTTAATGATGAACAACATTAACCGTGAGAGGGAGCTCTTGTTATAGTGTGCTGCTTATAAGAGTGGTGGATGAGAACGTCACACAAAGACAATGTGTGGTTTAGTCTTATATTAAGTATTGTCTTAAGTGTTTGAAAAATCAGAGCTACATGGGAAACCCCAAGCAAATGTACTCTACTCATATTATTGTCTTAACGTAGGGAAAATACACACCGTTTAAAATGTGTAAGCCATGAAAGTACAGGACATTTGTGCAGTTGTAACACAAACCGACCTGTATTTCGTGCTTGTGTGGACTCATATGCTGAAATGCAATTGCAACACCTTTTTGTTTTTTTTTCTAGCAAGTTCTCACATCACTACTAGCTTCAGATTTAAACCTTTTGATCTTGTCTTTGTGGAGCGGTTTGCAGCCGAGTGCGAAGTGGCGGGGATGTGGATCAGTACGAGGTGGACAGGCGGGCGCTGTACCGGACCATCGTGGTGAAGAGAGAGTTGAGTCGCAAGGCGAGGCTCTCGATTTACCAGTCCATCTACATCCCAACCCTCATCTATGGTCACGACCTTTGGATCGTGACCGAAAGAATGAGATCGCGGATACAAGCAGCTGAAATGAGCTCCCTCCGCAGGGTGGCTGGGCTCAGCCTTAGAGATAGGGTGAGGAGCTCAGACATCCGGAGGGAGCTCGGAGTAGACCCACTGCTCCTGCGCGTCGAAAGGAGCCAGTTGAGGTGGTTTGGACATCTGATTCAGATGCCTCCGGGGAGGCTTCCTCTGGAGGTCTTCCGAACACATCCACCCTGGGGCAGACCCAGAACCCGCTGGAGGGATTATATCTCTCAGCTGGCCTGAGAATGCCTCAGGATCCCCCAGGAAGAGCTGAAAGCGTCGCCGGAGGGAGGGAAATCTGGAATGACCTGGTCCGCCTACTGCCCCCGTGACCCAACCCCGGATAAGCTAATGGATAATGGATGGATGGATGGATGGATGGATGGATGGATGGATGGATGGATAATGGATGGATCTTGTCTTTGTGTTGTTTGACTCACTCTTGAGCAGATCAGATCAAACATATCCCCAAATCCTGAATTTCTGACACAGAGGAGTCATCTTCTCCCAATAGCTGTAAAATTCATTTTATTTTCTGTTTTTTGTTTTTTTTTCTTTAATGTGCCGATTACCTTGAAGCCTACAGCCTCAAATCAGTGTCACTGTACCATCATGCATATTCAGTACCATAAAATCCCTTTAAACCGCTGCTGCTCATCATCTTCAACTTCTTACTGTTTGCAGCTGAACAGAATCGCTGCAGCACATGGGTATTATGCACCTCACTCAAGTAGGTGGCAGGTGCAGAGGGAGGACAGAGTGCTGCCCGTTTGGAAGTCTAGATCTTCCCATCTGGTGAGAATCAGCGACACACACACACAGACACACACACAACGACAATGACAACACTCTCCAACATGCTCCATCTTAATATATGCATTTTCTGTTTACTTTTATTATCCGTGGGCCTTTTAAATCAAAAAGCAGCTTAAGCACGGGAGTAAATCTCAGCATATTCCTTGTAAATACACACTCTATAACTCTTTCCCGTACGTCACAGTCCGACACCCTAAACATTTGTTCACACGCATCCTGATTGCAGCCGGTGTCTCCGTCTTTGTCTGTGTCCTTGACTCTGACTCATTGTCTGTCTCTGTTTTTTTATTTATTTATTTTTTTCATCGTATTGAAGGACTGCCCTCACTTCTTCAATGAGATGCTGTTGTGCTATTAGTGAGGCACACACACACCTACACACACACACACACACAGACACACACAAACACCCACACAGACATCTTGAGTGAGCGACAAGGTGGGGAAAAGCTCAGGCTGATGGATGTAATTTTCCATCATCACCTCTTCCCTCTTTCAGCTTTTCTTTGTAAACTCGTCCTCCATTTGCCCTCTCAAACTCCTGTAGAATTTTCTGTGTTCTTTTATTTATTTGCTTTTTTTCCCCCTGTGTACAATTCAGGGGGTGCTGGAGTCCATCCAAGTAAACCAAAGGCAAAAAAGTGAAGTATGTGCTGCACAGGTCACACCGTGTCTACATATGTTGTATGTATGTGGATATGCCTTTACTTTATTGTCATGTTGTGTTTTACGTGAGTGACACTGACAGGCAGGTCTTTGAGCAGTTCTTGAGATCAAGTCTCTGCTGGTAAATTGGCCTTGTAAGGGTTACACAAGTCAAAGAAGTAAATAAACTCCCCTGCAGCAGCCAGACATTAAAAATGAGGCTTTCTTCACATGTTAATGTGCTGTTACCTTGTTACTGTGTCACGTCAGCGCTTTATTAACTCATTAGGTCCTAATTGAGTCGTTAGCTGTTAGACAAGTCAGGAATTGTCAATAGGCATTGTCAGTGAAGGGGAACTGTGAAAGACTGAGAAGACGAAGACACCTTTCAGATAAAAGCACGAACCTAATACGACTGTTAAGGAGCTGCAGGAAGGTTGGGCTGACATCAGGAGTGTCGGTGCACAAACAGACACTGAAGAGTCCTCAGACGCTTGCAGCCTCATTGCAAACGTCATGAAGTTTACAAAGCAACATCTGGGTAAGCTGGAGTGGTTTTGGAGACGAATGCGGTGTCCAGATGAAGTGCAAATTGAGCTCTTTGGCTTCAATCGCCAAACATGGAGAGTTTAGAGATAAACAAAAAGGATAATTTGATGGGAAGAACACTTAGTTAACTTCTAAGTATGTGGATATTGACAGCCAGAGGCACAGGAAAGACTGCATGGACAGAGGAAAGAATGCACTCTGGAGCTTTCATTCTGGCTGCAAACGTCATGGAGTCAGTTTGGAAACTTGGTCCCCATGTGGGACGATTATACTGAGAAGTAAGATTCATTTTCACTTGGATTGTTGTTGGATTTAGCCACCAAAACTGTGTAATTACATTTAGAAAAATAACACATTGTGGTGATTACTTTTACGATTGTGACGACACATCAAAAGCTTAGTTAAGTAAAGACACCATCGTTACTTGGAAAAATAGTTTGGGTTCAAATATGACCTTTTCACTAAAAGGTAACCAATCTGTCCTCATCTGATATATGATTGGTTGGCTGGAAGAGGGACATTTAAGGAATAAAATTACTGGCAACTATGTGGTGATTTGAAACGTATTGGTGATACCATCCATCCATTATCTATACATCGCTTAATCTTCACTAGGGTCGTGGGGGGCTGGAGCCTATCCCAATTAACCTCAACGTATTTTTGGACTGTGTGGGAGGAAGCCTGAGAACCCAGAGAGAACCCACGCTGCACGGGGAGAACATGCAAACTACACGCAGAAAGATCCTCACTGGGACGCGAACCAGCGACCTTCTAGCTGCGAGGTGCTAACAGTGCTAACCACCGAGACACCGAGCAGCCCCGTTTGGTGATACGTCAGATAAAAACACAACAAAATATCTGCTTCTCCCCCAAACATAATGAAGAATACAGTTTAGTTGTATAATGATGTCATTTTAAAGATAGGGCTGCTTCAGACATTTTTAAACTTGTCAATAGAACAAATCTATTACAAATCTTTAAAATCACAAACACATTTTTTTTAGTGCTAACCCCAACATGTGTTGTACTTCACACAGAAGTCCACTACCAGTAAATGTACACTGGAGGTTTCAAGTTTCTCACTAGTGTAAGCTGCATATAGGACAAACAACACTAAACTACCGTCTACATACATGTCTTAGCACCAGATTCAAGCAATTTTCCTCTTTTAGAAGATTAATGTTAAAATAAATTAATAAATAAAAAAAGCTTGCAAGTGTCAATCACAGTGAAATAACACAATTCTTAGTACATGTTTCGGTGGTGGGCCATTTTAAACATGCTGCATACATGAAAGAGCCAAAATACATGATTGTTTTTTGTGACAAAGAATTGTTCTTTAACCGTTCTTTAGCCATCATTGATGATTAGGAGTAAGACAGCCAGACACTCCCTCACACGTTGAAGGAATCTGCAAAGAGTCCCAACCTTTGCATACATTTGTAGCTGTAAATAAATATTATTTGAACTCATCATAATATTTAAAATCATATGTAAAGCAGTTGTGTGTTCTGTTCTATTTATTATTTAAAATAGTGAGTAATTCTATTTTGGAATTTCATCACTAGGAAACAGTTTGTGTCCAAGATTTTAGTTTTTTTTTTGCATTCATGTATTTATGTTTGTTATGCTGAAAATAATCAGTGGAAGTTCAGTTATCTGTTGCTGCAACAATCTGAAACCCACCTGCTGCTGCTACCTTCAGGCCTCAGCATGTACGGCCCTCCAGTGGACCTGTCATGTAAAGCTATGCAGTGTGTTGCAGGTAGTATCGTGTTTCTGCAGTTTGTTAGCTTGACAGCAGCTGACCTTTCCGTGGTGTTATTCTGAGTACGTCTGTGCTACTAGTTAATGAAAACTTGACAAGTTTTCACATATCAAGTCCTGCAAATGCTAACAAATGCCTGCTGAATTGTCCGTGTGCCATCATAAAGCTCGCACAATGTGGTAATGAATAGGGCACTCAAAAATAAAGTGAAAACGCATTTGATAGTAGATATAGAGCCAAAGAGCTTAAACAGATTGTTCATTTCTCTATGCTATGTATATATGTATGTAGTTTGATTAGAAGGCGTATTGACTGCAGTGTACCACCTGAGCAGCCTGACTGATAGCTTTCAGCAGCAGATATCTAAATTCAGATATTCAAACTCGTGCCGTATTGACTCTGATTGTTTCATTTGTGCTTCAGATGCGCTGCTTGAGTTACCCCGAAGTGGCCTGCGCCCTTTAAACACCACCGCCGACAACAAGTACCTGAGTCGCTCTTTGCGTCTCAGTTACAACAATGTCACCGACCTTGATGGCCTCCAGGACACACTCAGCCACTTTCTGGCTCAACCGCTGAAGCTCGCCTGGCTGGACTTGTCCTTCAACAAACTCATACACATAACCCCTGTGAGGCTTCGCTCCTTCGTCTCTCATGGCTTTTCTGTATTTGCTTCTTCTGTTTCTTTGTTTATTCTTTCCTTCTATTTTTCTCTTAATCACATGCAAATTCTGCTTATTCATTACTGATGTTGCCATTGCCAACGTTATTGAAATGCACATTTGTTTATCTGTATGTATAATACAATACATAGATTAGTGTTTAATTGAAGTTTTTCTTTAAAATGACTGCTTCTCAAACTCTCGCACCAAAATTGTGGAATGCTCCAGCTGAGATCATCAACTTCTGTGAAACTTTTATGAGGCATCTGAAAACATTTAGGCTTATGGTTGACCTGTAGCTGCTTTATTTTATTTTATTTTATTTTATTTTATTGTTTTTAATGCACTGCGTTTTTGCTGTTGCTCCCCTGTTTTAACAATTTATTGCCTTTATCATTATTGTTTTTGCTTTTATCCTTGTTTTGTTATCATTACAAGATTACAAAGTGCTGTACATCTGTGAAAGTTGCTATATAAATACATTTTACTTTTACTTACTGTAATTTCAAGTTCTTTGCAAATTAACCTTTGAATGTTGTTGGACTTTTGCTGTTTTAAACTGGAGATCAGCTCAGACCTGCTGGTACTATTTACAGATCCACATGTTATTGGTTTTAAATTTAAATCTTCTCTGTGTTCCAGGTTCTGTGCGAGCTGCAAGAACTGCGTGTGTTGTACCTTCACGGCAACCAAATCGGACAACTGTCGGAGGTCGACAAGCTGGTGCAGCTGCAGCATCTGCACACCATCACGCTACACGGAAATGCCATAGAAAACTGCAAAGGCTACAGGTGGCGACCTCCTTTTCTTTACCTTTCAACAACTGTCCTTGAGCCTGGCCTACATCGACATTATGCTTGGATCTTATATGCAGAATAGAATCTGATAGACACCCTCGGTCATCTAGCACGGTAGTCGTACACATGGAGGTTTCTGAAGGTCAGAGCTGAGCTACTTCAGTGATAGAAGTCTGGAGTTATGGAGCGATCATAAAGATGGTCACATCATATTTGTATGAAATTGAGCTTTTCTGAGCTTTTGCATGGGGTGTAGTGTGTGTTTTTTCCCTGACATATAATGTAGGAATGTAAAGTACAAATACTACATTCTGACTTTTACTCGAATACAAGTACAGATGTTTGATCGTGTGACTGATGCAGTAAATGGCCTTATTAGGCTGTTGCTGATACATAGTGCTGGTCAGCGACACGTGTCTCTATAATGATGCATCAAAGAGTCACAAGTATTTTACATTTGTGGCTGATCAGTGGAGCTACTTTTAACTACTTTACATGTAAGTTGCTCATCGGTTCAAAACTGGACGTCTCCAAGGCCGAGCATGAGATAATTAATGTGGAAGGAAAGAAGAAAAGCTGAAGAAAAGTTCTGCTTCACAAATGTATGCTTCTTACAGTTTTTTCTTTTTTGCTTTATTGTGAAATATTTAAGACTTCTTAGTCCTTGAACAGGTAAATCAATGAAACTATGTGACAATTTTACAGGACAAATATCTCTTCTGTCTAACTGCTAATCACTCACAGACATCTGAAATGTGACGAGTAACCGCAGACTGCATTTATATAAGGTGTAACTCCACAAAGTCTGGGAACCACAGGTTTAATCTGACACAACTAAACAAGCAAACAGAACTGTAAAATAAATGTAGTGGAGTAGAGAGAATATTTCCTTCTGAAATGGAAAAGAACTTGTAGTTTAACCTGGAAATACTCGAGAAAAGAACAATACCTGAAATCTGCCTCTAAGCATAGTACTTGTAAATACTAATGTACTTAATTACTTCCCTTTATAAGCATCTTTAACAGGCTGAAGGCCATATTGCCGCTGATATCCTGAATAACATCAACAGATACAGACAGATAGAAAGGTCACCCTTCATTGGTTAAATATCACAGGCATTCACCTTCTGGATTCAATTTTCATCTCATTTCATACCATAGTTTAGGCAGAATAATAGGAAAAGAACAGACAAGGTCTGCTTTGCATAGGCCGATAGACATCACCTTATATAACATTCAGTGTGAATTCATTATATGAAAGCACACAAAATGTGTCCAGATTCAGAGCTAACCAGCACGTGTGTGTTTGTGTGTGTTTAGGAATCATGTGATCTCTGCCGTCCCTCAGTTAAAGAAGATGGACTTCAGCGCTGTGACGCCTGAGGATCGAGTCTTGGCAAACGTTTGGCGTCATTCTACCAACCGTAGCAAGAGCAGCAAGGACAGTAAACCAGCTCATTAAGCAAGTATTTTTAACGACTGGTGAAAACATCGTCAGTCCGTTTTTCTATTAAATGTTTTCTTAGCTCATCTCTATTTTCTTTATCTTTGAACTGATTCTGTCAATAACAGTGCCTGGCTAAACTGAGCTGCTGAATACCTGTTGTGATGCTATGGAGGCTTCCTATGAGTGCCAACTGTTGACTAAATCTACTTTAACTTGTGTCTGGTGGGTTGCTTCTTTTTGTTAGTCTAAATAAATTAGGTCTAAGAAACACTCAATCAACCACTTTATGATAATATTACCAGGAACCTCCTGAACTTGACACAAGATTGGGGCCAATCACGGGACCTTCCCACTGATCGGAGTTTGTACGTCCCTCTGGATGATTTATTTCCATTCATTGTCATGCAGGAACTTGAGATAAAAAGACTAGAGTTACTTGTTCCACTAGACACTTAGAAGCCTCTCCTAGCTTTGCCCACATTCAGCTGACTTTTACTCTGGCCAGATGTCACTAAGCTCCATAGAAGTCTTTGTTGGGGTGTTTCTTTTCTGGCTAAACTCCCACAATGCTCTCTGCTTGCCAACACGGAAACCCCCGCCTCCTACCCTATTCATATTTGACTTATAGTTTGTAAATAAATAATTTGTGTTGTTCAATTAGTCGTAAAATATGTCAAACAAAACAAAAAGCAACAAAAAAAAAAAGAAAAGAAAGGAAAAAAAGAAAAACAGTGGTAAGATTTCCCAGCAAAACATTACACTGCAACAAGATGATCAATGCCGTTCACTTCACTGTTAATGTTGTGACTGATTCGTGTATTTAATGTACGAGGTGTGTCAGAAAAGTTCCAGGACTGATGTAACAAAAGATATATTTCAAATACAACGACAAGTTTTCTCCTTCAAAGTAATCCCCCTGGAGTCTAACACACTTTCCTTCTCTGCCATGTCGCCATGCACTCCTCGAAGGATTCTTCAGGAATCCTCCGCAGCTCCGTCGTCACAGCCATCTTGATGTCGTCCACGTCTTCTAAGCTGGTCCCCTTGATGACCCCCTTGAGCTTGGGGAAGAGGAAACAATCCCACAGAGCCAGGTGGGGTGAGTAGGGAGGTTGCTCCAGCACGGAGATGTTCTTCTCAGCCAGGATCTGTGGGATGCTCAGGGTGTTGTGAGCAGGCGTGTTGTCATGGTGAAGCAGCCACGACTTGTCCTGCCACAACTCTCACCTCTTCTGAACGAACCAAACGCAGCAGGATCTCTTTGTAGACGTGCTGCTTGATCGTCTGAAAGGGAACAGTTTGTAGTTTGGGTTTGAAATCTATCTTTTGTGGCACCAGTCCTGAAACCTTTCTGACACACCTCGTGATGTGTGACTGAGGATGGGTTAGCTTCATTGTAAAACAATTAAAACTCCATTTACAGACATGCTCGTATGCCAGGACAGGCACACACACGCGTATATCATAAACACAGATGTTGTTTGTTCAGTTTACATTGTGAACAACTTTGGATCTCTGCTGCCGTCACCTGGTCTCGTTACTGAAGAAATGTGCACCATGTATGAGCCGGGCCTCGATTTAACTGGCTGTCATCCAGGCTCTGTTTGGTGCAGAATCAGTGTATTTGGGTTCCTACCTAAAGAAAAAGCTTTATAAGATGGGAGTCCCTGAATCAGCATACAGACCACGTGACACAAAAGCTGACCACTGAAACCAATACTAATGCAATCACTTGAAAGTTAATTTAGACCTTCAGGAACTAAACACTGAAACTGGTACTTGTGAAGAAATGCTGCATGGCAGAATTTTGACCTTGGTTTCCTTTGAAACCTGCACTTACATGGTTCTTTTGAAACAGCTTTTAGACCATGTGTCAAACTGTGCAGTGAAGCCAATATCAATGAATATCTTTCAGTCAGGATGGCAGCTGTTCTCAGCAGGATGGCCTGCTTTGCACAGTGCTTGAGGAAGCACTGGCATCCACTTTGCAGATTTCAGCCTCTGACTATCTACTGTACATGTACACTCGTTTCTTCATATGTCAGATGTGCTTTTCTATTCTGTATGGGAAAGGCTGTAGTAAAGTGAAATACTTTATGTTATTTGGTATATTCTGAGGTAGCAGCAACCTCTAGGTTCTGAATGAGTAGACATATACAGCTGTACTCTGTTATTAAAACTAAGCAATCCACTTGGCTGTGTAGAAGGCCGATGCAACCTTTCACTTAGCTTAATGGTTAATGTCTATGAGAGCTGATCAAAAAGTTTGCAGAGGGAGCACGTGCACAGACATGACACATGTAAGTAGTGACTGTAATGATTCAGAATGCTACATGACACCGTGCTATGAACCGTGGGACGTGTGTTACACGTATTTGTATGTAATAAGTCAAGCACCATCTGTGATTAGAGCTGAATCTCTTAAATCTCTCTAATCTCTTCATTTTGGGAGGAAGAAGAAGCCACAGTGAGGCAAATCTGGCAAGAAGAGCAGGTTGGGAGCAACAATTGCGTTGTTGTGGCCAAAAAATCCAATGAGTGACCACTGCGCTGTGCCCGGTAACACAGCACCCACATGCCGTCGTTTGCACCGAATGTTCTCCTTCAAGCGCCTCAGGGCGTTACAGCCGAAGCTGCCCTGACAGTCTGACTCTGGGGCATTCATTACGGTTGTCCGGTTTTGGAAACTGCAGGCTCGTCTACTGTGAAACCTGCTGTTTCTTCTCTCGGGGTTAACTGCAGGCTCACCTCTCGTCACCAGTGATGCTCGTCGACATGAAGGTTGGCTCATCCCAACGTCCTGACTGACACAAAACGTGATGCTATCTTCTTTGCTCAAGCTTGAGGTCCATGGAGAAATGGTTCCATGAGTCATGACAGTTACTAGTTGCACATGTTGCACATAAGCTCAGTTCACACGCATTGTGCCCAGTCCTGGAACTTTTTGATCAGCCCTTGAACAATAGTGTTTTTAGCTCTGTATGGCTGGAATTAACTTTTCTCCAAAGGATAAATGAAACAGCTCCTTGTAGCCTTTTTTTTTGACCAGGATAAATACACAAATATTTATTACAATGCAATATAAAGGCTAAAAGGTGTTGTAAAAGTCAGCAGAGATACTGAGTATTTACCTAAATTTAGCAGCCAATCGCCAAAGACAAATTTTTAAATGTGTTTTTAACGTCCACCTCACCTGTCTCAAAGAACAGACTTCTGTTCTATGGCATGCATTAATCCACAATGACTCAAAGACATACGCATCACGTGTGTCTCTCTGTGGTCTCATGCATTTTTCAGTGCTTGAAGCTGTATTTTTTTTTCTCCCTCTGGGCCGCTTAGTGAACCAGGTCTCCATAGCAGCTGTTTAAGTCTCACCCACCTTCTGTGGCTGTTGAGTGTAATTAGTAGAGTTAATGAATCCATATATAACATCGCTGTTTCTTTCCTGCTCTGCCTTTATGAAAACTACACCTATTCTGCTGTCAGTCAGCCTGGTAAAGACACTTTGTCCGGGTTCTTTCCTCTCAGCACTTCGGTGCTGCTGACTGACAGGCAGCTGGTCTGAGGACAGAAGTGCCAAATTAAAGGTCAAAGTTGGTATGGTTTAAATGGATTGAACGCTTCAGCAGTGCTTACATGCTCACTTCCAAGGTGGATTCCCAGGTAGCCTGCGGGCTAGTTTCTATAGTAGTGATGTTAAATCTGTACTGTTTAGCTCAGGTTTTCATCCACAGGAGAGGACAGACAGCTCCTGGCAAAATTACCGTTACCTCAGCAAAGAATGGGCTGTATTTTGATTTATGTGGGACAAAGAGATAACTGTATGGAGTATTCACATAGGCCTGCTCTATATGTGAATAGCCTGCTCACATTGAAACAGCTCGCCTGAGGCCCAACATCTACAGTCATGTTGTTAAATCTGCCTGGACTAATGTTTCTCCAGAGAAGATGATGTAGCTTTTGGCTGAAGTTAAACTTAGCGAGCTTTATAATATGTTCCTTTATCATGGATAGAAAGCACGCTGGTCTACTGTGGAGTGTTTTTTTAAAATTGGACAACATCTTAAATCATAAGTATACGCAAGATTTACTTTCGTCTGTAGCTGTCATCACTAAAAAAAAAACCTCCATGTTTCACACTAAAGTCATTGAAGCCTCACTTGCTTTTATTGTTATTTCTTTGCATGTTTCCTTGCACATCACTCAGGATGCACATAAATATGGCGTAACAGTTCTATCATTTCGAACAGCATCATTTCCAGATGACTGGTTTGCCTTTAAAAGGAGCTAATTTGAGGATTTTTTAAATGTGTGTGTCATATCAGAAGAAAAGAATGTCAGACATTAAGTGAAGTAAATGAATTGCCTGACAGCTTGTACAGTACAGTTTGAATGTGAGGTTCTTTTCTTCTACTTTATAAACATGAACTTACCAGATGTGCAGTAGATTTATAATGATTACAGTTCTACTAGTTTTAATTGAATTACTGATGTTGTCACAGGCGTTGAAGAAAACCAGATACTTAGTAGAAGACTTCAGCATAATAACATCATGGAAAACAACTTAGATTAATTCATTACTAGGATGTTGGTGATGTCGTATCATCATGTTAGACTCATTGTAAGAATCTTGATCAGATATTTTGCAGTCATGAGCTGGTCTCTCTGTTGTCCGAGCTACAGCAGAACTACACTCATCAGCCACAACATTAAACCCACCTGCCAAACTTTATCTGATTTGTTTTGCGATAACAGCTCTGACATGTCGTGACGTCGACTTTACAAACCTTTGTCTTGTGGCATCAGGCACCAAAATGTTAGCATCGGATCCTTTAAGTCCTTAAAGCTGCAGGATGAATCCTCCGTGAGTCTGACTTCTTTTTCCAGCACGTCCGACAGATATTCACCATCTAGTCTTTGTCGTGCTGCTAAAGCCTTACCTGAACATTTTTTGTTGCGTGGTCGCGCATTATCCTGCTGAAAGAGGCCACTGCCATCAATGATGGCCATGGACGGATGTTAGTTTTGTGGTTATGTCAAAAAGAGCATCCACATGAATGCCAGGAGCCAAGGTT